TGTGTGCGCGTGCGTGCGCGCAAGCTTGTGTGCGTGCGTCGGCGTGCGTACGTGCGTGGGTAAGTGATGACGTTTTGTGTGCACGTGCATGTTTTCATCCCTATGTGCGCGTCTGGTGCGCGCAAGCTTGTGGCGTGCGTGCTGCTGCGTGCGGTGCGTGCGGTGCGTGGTACGTGCGTGGGTGCGCTGCGTGGGTAAGTGATGACGTTCGTGTGCACGTGCAGTTTTCATCCCTATGTGCGCGTGCGTGCGTGCGTGCGTGCGTGCGTGTATACGCATGATAAATCAATATACCGATGAAGGCTCGATCGCTCGGCACGAACAGTGTGTAGGGTCGTCGCGAACTCTGACCAAGGAGCCCAGGAGACAGCAGGCGGAGGTAGCGACGAAAGTACGTCAGCCCGTACGCTTCCAGATTTTCGACCAGACTCTTTGCTAAAATCGACAAACACATATATTTGCTGCATGATTCTCGGCTATAGAGCCGTGGGCTGGGCGATGTGTTTGTCACGCGCACTCGCACCTCACTGTCGCATATAAGCTACGCGTAACCTTTACTTCCACCATTATATTCACATGATCAGAACGCATTTATCGGAGCAAATATATTGTAGATTTTTATTAATTATTATAAATTATTGTAAATTATTGTAAATATTGAAAATGAAATTGAATTGAATAATTTGGAAATTATTGTAAATATCATAAATTTTTGTTTTATACTGCCTGATGATATCGTGTTTGCAAAATTTATTTTAATTGTAACGTTGTAAATACTGAGTTTGCAATAAACCTATTATCTATCTATCTATCTATCTATCTATCTATCTATTTCTATCTAATCTATCTATCTATCTTATCTATCTATCTACTCTATCTATCATCTATCTATCTATCTATCTTATCTATCTATCTATCTATCTATCTATCTATCTATCTATCTATCTATCTATCTAATCTATCTATCTATCTATCTATCTATCTATCTATCTATCTATCTATCTATCTATTTATCAATCTATTCTTATTTATCTATCTATCTATCTTATCTATCTATCAAAGGGTCTATACTAGAAGAACTACGTGTGTAGCTGAGGAGTAGCAGACGGAACCTGAGTCAGGAAGGATGACACGGTCCACGGCGTGTATGACGGCGTCGTCAGCCAAGATGTCTGCTCGACGACGTGGCCGCGTCCGACGGAGATGCGACTGCCAGCCGAACACGAACAGGTTGACTCCCGACGCCTAGCGACCGACCTGCTCAACAACTGCAGCCGTCGCACGATCGCAGCGCCCACAGATAAAGTTGTCGACGACGTGACTCTGTACGACAACTGGCGGTAAAGGAAAGCAGCCGAGTGAGTAGTGAGTGAGTGAGTGAGTGAGTGAGTGAGTGAGTGAGAGAGTGAGTGAGTCAGTCAGTCAGTCAGTCAGTGCGAGAGACAGAGAGAGAAAGAGAGAGCGTGTGTGTATGAGACAAAAAGAGAGAGAGAGTAGAGAGAGAGAGAGTGTGTGTGCATGAGACAGAGAGCGAGAGAGAGAGTAGAGACGGACTTGTGTGAGTGAGAGTGTGTGTATGAGCCAGTCAGAGAGAGGAGAGAGAGAGAAGAGAGAGAGAGAGACGAGAGAGAGATGGAGAGACTGACAGACAGAGGGGAGAGAGACATAGATAGCAGAGGGGAGGGGAGAGTAAAGAGAGAGATAGAGAGAGAGAGAGAGAGGAGTAAGAAAGGGATGTAGTGAGAGAGCGTGTGTGTGTATTAGAACAGAAGAGAGAGAGAGAGAGACACACACAGGAGAGAGAGAGGGAGGGAGATAAAGAAGCGAGAGAGAGAGAGCAGAGAGAGAGAGACAGAGGAGAAGGAGAGAGGAGAGAGGAAGAGAGAGAGAGAAAGAGAGACAGAGACAGAGGCGAGAGAGAGAGAGAGGGAAGGGAGTGAGTGAGAGAGAGAGAGTGTGTGTGTATAAGACAAAGAAAGACAGAGGAAGAGAGGAGGAGAGAGATTGTGTGTGTACTGTGTATAGACAGAGAGAGAGAGAGAGAGAGAGAAAAGAGAGAGAGCAGAGAGAGAGAGCAGGAGGAGAGAGAGAGGAGAGAGAGAGAGAGAGAGAGAAGAGCAGAGTAGAGATAGAGAGAGAGAGAGAGAGAGAGAGAGAGAGAGAGAGAGAGGAGAGAGAAAGAGCGAAGAGAGAGCAGAGAGCGAAAGAGAGAGAGAGAGAGAGAGAGAGCGAAAGACAGAGGGAGAGAACGGGAGAGTGAGAGGGGGAAACAGAAAGAAAGCGTCTACGATAAGACGCTGTCGACAAATCTCTGAACGCAAAAGTCTTTGCGTGGGAAGCATTGACGTAGATACTACAAATCGTACGAGTCGACCCGTGTTTTCGTCCTTACAACTATACAAAAAGTACATTTTAGCGTTGAAAAAAAAATCCATAAAATATAAATTAGCTTTTTCATAAGTTTTACAGCGAGAAACCATCATCTCGGAACGGCGACATAATTATAAGGATTGAATTTTTATGCTTATTTTTACTTTAATGAGCTAATTTAAATTCTCTCTTGTTTTGCCGTGTAATTAAGTTGATGATAAAAACTAAAATTAACGTTATTCTCATGTTTAATTCATACGGCGATAACAACCACTGCACCTACACTAGCGTACACTAGATTGGATTCTTACTATTCAGGTACCTTCGCAACGCTCATTATTACCAGACGCCTATAGGCGATAAACGATTCGACAACAGAATAAGACAATCTCTTTGCAGAAGAGTGCGCCACTACGGGCAGGCCGTGATAAGCATGAAGCATTGTTAGACGCCACGGTAATCCCTGATACATACTCACCTCTAAGTGCATCGCGGTCTGCCAGAATGCTACGAAGGAGATCGCCGGACACCTTACGAAAGGCATCGTCGGTGGGAGCAAACACCGTGACTCCACCCCCGACAGAGAGCAGCTCCGCCTCCAGGCCAGCATCCACTGTGAATAAATACCATCGCGTCTAAATCCTGTCATGGTCAGTAGAGGTGGTCAATGGGTGACTGGTCAATGGCTGAGCACTGCGGGCTTAATAGGTGGCTACTCTGTGGCTTATAAGTAACCGCTTAGTGAAGAATTGAATTCGCGCAAGCAAAAGGCTGATGCATACGGTTGCGGAAACACTCGAAATCTTTCAATAATCATTGAGTTAAATATTCGTTTATCCACCCACACACGTACGCACGCACGCACGCACGCACGCACGCACGCACGCACGCACGCACGCACGCACACAGACGCACGCACGTACGCACGTACGTACGCACGCACACACACACGCACGCACGCACACACACACACAGACACACACACTGCTACACCCACACACGCGCGCACACCCCTACTCAAACGAACTTTCACACGTACGCACGCACGCGTACATACGCACGCGTACACACGCACGCACGCGAATAATTCCCACGTAGATACATGGGAATGCACGGAATTCATAGAACAGACTCTAGCATTGTACCGGCCGCACGCATGCCCGCGTATAGTACAAGATATAATGACCACTACTGCGTCACCGTCTCACCAATGGCTGATGCGAAGCGTTGGAACCTCGCGTCACGCTTGAGAACCGTCATGACGGAGACGCGAGTGTCCGGCGGCGTCAGGACGCGGTCGATGACGTGAATGACGCCGTTCGTCGCGCGACGGTCGGGCTGAACGACGCGAGCGCAGTTGACGGTGACAGCCTGCGACAGAGAAGCAGCGTCGTGACAGCTGACCGATACCGTCATCACAGCTATTGTCATAGCACCGATGTTGTCGGTTGAATAAGTGAAACATTCTTCGCGCTCAATCGAACGAAACATTTTGCCGAACCGGTGCTTGTTCGAAATATGCATTTAGGCCCGTCACAGAGCATTAAACTATATACGTTAAAAGCATAAATTACATGGCAGACGCATTGATCCATAACCTTCGCGTGAGAAAATGCCATAAATTATTCTGATTTTGTAACCATGAAAGACTGCGTGACGGAAAGAGACTTTGTTCCCTCTAATGATTGGATTTAGCTCGCTTATTTAATTAGGATGTTCTGCCTAGACATTACTCGTTCGATACAGCTGTTATTAACTCGACATAGAATGTCTGTGGTTATATATAAACATGGATTTATGGCGCTGTCACACATTGACGATTTAGCCAGCGTATGCCGGACGTATCAAAATTTATCTAAAACGCTGGCATACGCTGAACTATCGATGTTTATTTCAATTTTGGGCGTATACATAGCGTATTCATAACGAGTTGGACGTATAGTTAACGTACGTATTAGTAACGTATATAGAACGTTTCAATAACTTATTGATAACTTATACCAACGAATGCTTAGCGTGTTGCCGGCGTTCACAACTTATGCCCAACGATAGTCTAACTTATGCATAGCGCGCGGCAGCGTATCGCCGACGATCACGTGTCGTAGTCTATAAAAAGGCTGCCGCTCGACGATTCAAATCATAACCGCACTAGACATCGCAGTATCACCATCACCGTCGCAGTATCAACATGCCAATACCATTTATATATACCAATTCCCCTAAACGCTGCCAATACGCCATTATACGGTAGCTGTAAGTTAGAAACACGTTCAGTAAGTTCTGTGGTCGTCCGGAACACGTCAAATACGTTTACATACGTCAATATGCGTTGGAGATAAGTTACACATAGGTTCAAAGCACGTTACTCATAAGTTAGAAATAAGTTTTGGGTACGCTAGACATTATCTCGACGTATTTCGACTTATGTGTAACTTACAAGTAACGTGTAACTTAACAAGTAACGTGTGTGAACGTGTGTCAACGATCGCATAACTTACCTACAACTTATGGCCCACGTATGCGGGACGTATGGGCATACGCTGGCATACGTCGGAAAATTTTGAGCATGCTCAAAATTTTTAGACGACCTCGCCGTACTACGACGTATACCAGCGTGCTTCAGCGTGCTTCAGCGTGCTCTTAACTTATACAAAGCTTACCCATAACTTATTCGACGTACGCCAGCGTATTCACCAAATTTTTTATACGTCCGGCATACGCTGGCTAAATCGTCAATGTGTGACAGCACCATAATGGACCATTAGCAGCACCATTAGTCAGCACTGTAACCTTTACGTACAAACGGGCGGTAAATTTATTTAATTCGAAAACCACGAAGGAACGCCTGACGCGGTAAAGCACCGGGTTTACGCATTCAAATAATGAATACTAGATCGCCTACCCCATTAGCGTATCTGTTCAGGCGAACGTTTCCGTCGAAGTAAAGAGTTTCCTGAAGCGCGTCAGCACCAAACTCTGACGTCATCACCCGTCTCTTCGCTACGTGGTAGAGCAGTGTGGAGGTGGCGCTCCGGTCACGGGGGCCGCGAAGCTGCGCTGTCATTTGGCTCGACAGTTTGGACAGAGCCTCGTTATGCGGTACAAACCAAGTGAACGCCCCTTGCTTTCTTAGTATCTGTCAATGTAAGTTAGCAAAAATGACAGATGTCGCTCGCTCGCTACTAATAGCACATGTTTTGCAATAAGGCCATTAGAGAAATGTGAGTGGGCTTTCTCTTTCGCTCCTCTAGTTTCTGTCAATTATAAGGTACTGTGTGTCGGCGAAAGTGGATGCATTCCGCTAATTTGTTTATCAAGAACGCGTGGTGTGTTTCCGTTACAGCCGAGAGTAACAAGGTTATGCTCGCTGCTAATTAGATAGTAGAGAGATATTAGCTTTCACCGGAAAACATCAGATCCACGAGATGCCGAATCGAGCCTTACTGTGTTGATTTCTGGGTCCCTAGCTAGCATCACGGCTTCCGACAATCGTAGCTCCTTTGCCGTCGTTAACAAGTCTGTCATGGGTTTCACTAAATGAACAAGAGGAAATGACGAACGAATGAGCAACGTGCGTTGATACCTACCCTAACATGTAACAAGTTTTATCTACCACAACCGAAATCTTTTCACCGTTGACGGATATATTTATGTATGCCTGTAATGATCAACGGCGGAAGATAGGTTGGAGTTAGTATCGTAGACGAATAGCGGTCAAGCTGTGGGAGTTTGCATCTTGGTTGGACTCAAATGCATGTCTACACCCATGACTGCCCGAGTTATTGTGGTTCGCAACTTACTACCCGTCAAAGGTTTATACTCGTCGCCATCATTATTGCAAAGTAAAAATCGCATTCTGGAATTTCGACATACAAACACGATATTATTTAAGTATACGGCTAATATTTAAATAATAGACTTAGGGGGTCATCATCGTCATGCGCTTTCAAGATCATAAATTTCTCTTTATTCTGAGATTCCATGCAACGACACCAGTCGTCATGCCAGAGTTCTTTGTTCGACGTTCTAAATACATTCTTAGGATCACCAATGAATCTCGAAACACATAGTTACAAGAATTAACGTGTGAGAGGATTCCACTATTATTAAAAGAAAGATATATGGAATCATAAATAAAATAATATAGTAATAATGACTTATAACGTGAATGTGAATAAAATACTGTAAATGAACGATTTCATATTTTTAAGCTATAACGAACACACTGCGCGATATTTCCGAGTCCCTTCCTCTATTACAATGCCGAATGATATTTCCCTAGCCCCTTTCCACTCTTATCTTCCATTTCTGGATCAGATAATTATCGGGTCTTGTATCTTAATTAACGTTCTTAGCTAGCCGGATTAAGGTGAGCCAGGCCCATTTTAAAGCGTGCTAAGTTATCCTGTACTATGTGACCCCTTCTAAATTGTGTATGTACGCAAACCGGGCTAGGTGCTGGCTAAATTAGATATACGCATACGCATAGCCCTGTTTGGGTGACATAAAAGTCAAATAGCGTCTGAAAATGTGTCTGGAATTTTGTTTTTGGTCTTTAATTCACTAGTGTATATTCATATGGCGTAAAGAATTCGCTTCCTATGGTGGCAAATATGGGGTATAGTAACTGGAACAACGACGAGGTAAAGAATCTGAAAATAGTTTGGGAAGAAGGCATAGGAAGAAATATTTACACTTCCATTGCTGCTAAAATGGCTCAATTGGATTATAATTGGACACCCAGATTCAATTATACATCAGTTGTAGCTTCTACTGTCTATTCGGTCACCTGTTAATATTCCTCATTTTCTACTATTACAACACTACAGTATCAGTCCTAATAATGCTATCGGAGATGCTATTGTTTTATCGTCATTGCTGTCTGCTGCGTGACGTAATACGCTAACGTGAGCATGCGCAGTGTACCAGTGCTAACTTTGCCCGGTTGAGTATTTTGTGCGCTGCGATTTAGCGCGCGTCTGGCCCGGGACTCGGCAAGACTAATTTGATATAGGATCAAATTTAGCAATCTGTACGTGGTATAAGGGCAATGACAGGTTCATACTTCCGGAGCATCCTGGTAAGTTATCCACTTGTTCGTATCCATCGCAGCACTCGAACCTGACGATCCTGCAATATGTTTGTAAACACAATTTCGTTAACCTTTCATAACTCTAATAAAATTGCATTGTTTTACCGTGCACAACGTAACATACACACACCACATACGAGCGCACGGACGCACGGATGGACGCACGAACGAACGAACAAACGTACACACACACACACACACACACACCACACACACACACACACACACACACACACACACACACACGCGCACCCGCACAAACACACACACACACACACACACACACCACACACACACACACACACACACACACACACACACACGCGCGCACACACACACACACACACACACACACACACACACACACATATATATATATATATATATATATATATGTATTAATTATATTATTTCAATGAGCATCAATCATTAATCAATTATTAGTACTGTGTTATTATTGTTATTGTTATTGTTATTGTTGTTACGCTCTGAATTAGAGTTGGGCGCCCTGTTGCCAATCCCCACAAGTGGTAGTGGAATTGGCCGTGAAAGTGTGGCAAATTTGATTTTTTTGTAATGAGTTTGCGATATTCTGAAAGACATCTTTATTTAAAAAATCACGATTCAGAATTGTTGAGGTCAAGTTAGAGGTGATGCCAAGATATGCATTGAGTTCAAATATTAAGTCAACATTTTTTAATCTCGTCTGTTAAATTTCCCATTAAGTTTTCTCATTTTCCCGTCATTATGGTCTAAGGCAATTGTTTACATTAAATAACTTCAAATGTAACATAATTTTAAATAAACTTGTTTAAACAGCGACTTCCATTTTTTTTATTTTGAACACGAATTCCTTAGTATCCGCATGGTGTGCCGAAGTTTAGTTTTTAATTTGCTGCACCTGTGGCTACATTTCAAAAAGGTTGCCAACCCCTGTTATAAATACTCTACTACCAGGAGTGCATGGATTAAGATGTCTGTCTATTCATTTAGCTATGATATCATCACGATACGGACTCATTAAATATGGAATGTATCAAAAACGTGTTTGATTTTGAACTACTGTTTACCAAAGAATTTGAAATGATAATAATCCAAATAAAATCACTATGAATATACATTATATGGACATGAATTGGTAGCACGGAGAATATAAACTCCGCGTGTATAAGTGATGAACACAGATGTCAGTTGTGAATAGAACAATCGAGTTTTGCAACGCTTGTCACGTCTGATGAATCTCGTAAATTTTCTACACTGTGTCGCGTGTACAACTTTTTGTACATTTTACATTCTATAGTCTATACGCACAAAGCGATGCGCACGCAATCTACACCCTGAGTTCTGATTGACGTTGAAAGCGACGCATGCAACTTGGCACGTCCGGCTGTAATTGATTAGTTTTGTCTAATGCTAGGCAGTTGTATTGCGCTGCAAAGCTACAGTTATACAATACATACATAAATTATGCACACACACGCGCGCACACTCATACATACGCACGCACATACACACACGCACTCACGCACGCACGCACACACGCACGCACACACACGCGCGCACACACACACGCGCGCGCACACACACGCACGCACGCACACACACCCACACACGCACGCACGCACACACACACACACATACACAGACAGACACAACTCACTCACGCTCGCACACACGCACACGCTCACGGACACGCACACCCACGCACGCATGCACGCACACGCGCGCGCACACACGTACACACACACACACACACACACACACACACACACACACCTACATAAACAAATGCACTGAAGACGTTTTATTGCAGCGAGTCGCTTTCGCGCGCAAACCACTCTATGTGAAGAGCCACGAGCGCCTATTTTCTTCGAGAGAAGAACGGCGTGGGTTGCCGTAGCTCGCTGTTTTTCGACAGTTCGTCCGTCATAGAAGTTCGTTTTTATTATTGTCTCGCGGCGGTTGCTCGCCGGGTCATGGGAAAAGTGCGGCTATTCCAATAAAGAAACACTGTTGGTACGTGGCAGTCCCGGCGTAATCTTAGCATCTACATATCGCTTGGAAGCCTGCTCTTCTCCGTCCCCCGTCCCGCTTTGCTCTTTGGCTCCAAAAACAGGTTTTCTTTGCTACCGTTGCGTGCTGTCGAATGTCGCTACCGCCATAATTTCACTTGTTAAACTATAGATAACTACGATGTGCTAACTCCGCAATACAATAGTTGATTAAGTAGACAAATTATATTATTTGCATTCGCTAGTTCATTACAGTCTTGTGTTGACATTGCGAGCATTGCGCAGTGTATTGAAGACAGCGTGAACAATTAAGCCATCAGCCGGGCTCGTAAATGACAGAGCAAACACACGCGGTGGGCTTATGATCCAGTATCACTAGCTCGCGCTCGCTTCTTGCTTCTGAATGACAGCAATTTAATATCGATAGTGCAGGTAGCATGCGCTCGGCCGCGTACCTATCTATATACGTTCTCGCGTCCGCCAGTTAAGATTAAAATGCTGCGAGTAACTAGAGAGTAAAGCGAGC